TCTCACAAAAATTCACCCATGAGATGTAAAGCTATACAACTAACTAACTGACCTATAAAACTGTTTCTTATTGGAGCTTCTTTAAAGATTGAGGTCTACCAAGTAAGGCACAGATCACATTGAAGCTTACAGACAGCCTAATGCATTTGATAACTTTTCTCACCAGTATTTCCAGCTATCTTTTGGGATAGAGCACATATAAGATTTCAGGATTTTAGGGACATATAAACCAGACTTCTATTATCTAAAGAAAATAATTTAAGACCAGATGGATCACACAAACGGTTGTTCTTACAACAAGAAGTATTAAGACTAGACAATAAAGCCTGCTTGGCAGTAAGACATCAGTAATACAATGACTTATAAAAGAAACTGCTGGTCTTTATTGATAAATAAAAGCCTGCTAGTTCCCAGTATATTAAAATGCTAGGAAGTTCACAAATTTACAGATTAAGCTAATTTTTCCCACAAGTGCTAAGGAAATCTTGGGCTCCCTGGAATCTTTGTCTACCATTTTGGTGCTTTTCAAAGGACAGCTATTTTCTATTGCCTTTCTTAGCTTCCCACTGGAAAACTTTTCTTCAAGAATTTAATGGAAAAGAAAAAAAACACTAATTGCCTTCTGAAAATGTCATCTCCTGGCTTCATTTGGTATTACTGGGAACACTGCCAGATGCAAGAACCCTGTGTGTTTCTGGAAGTTTATTTATCATTTAGCATCTTTCCTATATTTGGATTATGTACTATCTGAGAGTAGATTCTTCAAAAAAAAAAAAAAAGAGAGAAGGAAAGAAAGAAAAAGAGAGAAAGAAAGAAGAAAAGTCAGCCAGAAACTTGTGAGTGAACTAACAATTTAAGTTACGGTATTACTGAGAGTAACATAAAATAAGTCAACTTGAATGAAATTCTTGCTGAATCACAATACATTTTTTTTTCTATATGACAGGTATTTGACAGAAATGGTACTTTCTTAAATTTTGTGATAATGCTTATATGACATAACTTTGGAGGATAAAAACAGATTTAGGAAGGTTATTTATTTAGTAAATACCTAGGGAGAAGGCAGGAGAAGCTTAGCGCAATCCTAGAAATGATAAAGATTATAGAAAAAATTACATGCTACCAAAGGTTGTTTAGTAAATATGTGAAGGCATTTAAATCCATCAAAGGCTAAAAAAGCACTTTACATATATTCATGTTTTTTAAATGAAGGAAAATCCAATAGAGATTATAATGCACTCTGACAGATAGCTCTATACTTGCTACTTAGGTATTTCTTGTTTTGACACCAAGCTTGTCCTCCTTTTTATATCTAAAACAACATTATCCCTGTGTTTCTACCACTCAAGATTTTCTGATATGCCCCAAATTTATGTACCCTGTTCCTACCAAGAAAATAAAGTCATTAGGTTCATAGCATATTTTTTGTTTTGTCCTACCTGTCTCTGTTTCTTCTCTCTTGTTCTGGTACAGATGTCTCTACAACCAACTCAAAGCTTTTTCATGGATTTAACCAACAAGTTCATTTAAGAGTATGGCCAGTTTTGCTGCTGTCATGGCTGGGATATGGGGGGTTGGTTATATGCAAGGAAAACTGGTGTCAAAAGGACCACTTTGGAAGAAAGGAAATTTCCTTCCTCAAACTTCTCTGTTTTCTCCATCTTTAACCAGCTCACCCTGGGGAACTGTCAGCATGTTCTTTTCCACATTTATTCTCTTTGTCTGCTAGTAATTACTAAGACTCATATCTCACCTTAATAAAAAAATTCACTAACTCCCACCTCTTTCTATTATCCTGCCTTTCTTTTAAACAAAGGTCCTCCGAGAGATGTCTCTAGCATCTTCACTGTCTCCTTGTTAACTCCTGTAGTCTCTTTTCTGCCATCACTTCTGTATCTAAACCACATTCTCAAAGTTCAATAATGTCCTACTCACTAAATCCAAAGGTATTTCCTATGCATTTTCCTTTCTTGCATCTGTGGTCTCAGCCCCATTCTTAGTGTAACTGGATAGTATGCTGATTTTGATTCTGAAGCATTTCTCCTCTGGCTGCTCCCTCCTGGGACCAAGTACACTGAGCACTAACTCCCTCCCCAGCTTCCTCCCTGCCCTAACAGTGAGTACTTTCCAAGAATCAGCAGCTCTTCTGTTCTGCTCCTTAGTGTTCTCCTTCTGGGAGTCTATTGACTGGTATAGTTACTTGTATGACTAGCACCCTCCAAACTGACATTTGCTCATTCTGACCATAGAGATCAGCATAGTACACAAGTGTTTGTCTGAAATTCCCTTTTGGAATTGTCACCTTCATTCTCATGACCATTGCTGACACTGAATTTCCCATCATCCCTCAGAACTGGTTTCTGTTAATGGCACTAGTTTTCAGTACTCTGTTTCAAATTCTTGCCCCTCCTTACTTCCTCCTCCTATCTCACCAATCAACAATGCATGGCATTCTCTCCATCATTCCTTCATGGGAGAACTGTTTCAGGAACTATGGCAAAGGGTCCACAGTTACAAAGAAAATTCACATATATTGAAACACATACTAGTTCAGTGTCTTACTCAAGCTTTTTCATTCACTCCTCCTCCCGTTTGCATCTCTAAAACCTTAGCCACCCTTCAAGGCTCACCTGTGCTAGCATCACTTCTAGGAACAATGTCCTAATTCTACTAAAGAGAAAGAGCTACTCTTTCACCTAAATCCCAGTAGGCTTTGCTTATATATTTGATATTGCTTCCGTAAGACTAACTTATGTGTGAATTTCAGACAGAACTGCTGCTCCATTTCTAACCCGAATTGGTGAGTCCTTAGAAAGCAGTAAGGAAAGCATTTAGTTTTTCATCCATGTTAGACCCACCACAGTACTGTATATAAAATAAATGTTTAATCCAGCCTAAATTAAACCAAACTGGAATGGCGTTTGAACAAAACCTTGGAGTATTAGTAAAACATTAAAAGATATGTGTTCAAATGTACCCTGCCTAAAAGTACCTTTGAAAGACTGAAGGGCCTTACACATATTATAAAATAAAAATGAGCTAACAAGAGAAGAAGGGATCAATGATCTAAAACAAAAATACAGTTCCTTTTTCCCAATAAGAGATTAGAATTAGATCAGAGGTTATTACCTCATGCTTAATTTATCTATCTAGAATTTTCAAAGGATAAAAGTTTTGTTGTATTTGTTATCATTTTTACTTTTTGGCATGTGTGGTTTTGCTTTCTAACCTTGAAGAATTTTCTGTAACTTGAAGAACCAAAGAGGGATAAAGTTTACTACATTTAGATTTCATAACCAGCACGTTGGAAGGTGCAAGAAAGACTGATGTTTATCATAGCAACTCATGTGAGCATGTTCTAATTCCTTTGCTTTTCAGAATGACCCACAGACATTCAAAAGCTATCAAACTTTATTCATGAAAATATTTTGTGAATGCAATTCCAAATTTTTCTAGGTATATGTAATATCTGCAATTTTTAATATTTTCATTCAGGGTTTTTTATGTTTTAAGTTACTCAAAAAATTGTACTTTTGTAAATTTTTAAAAAATTGCATGACAAAGTGGCTAATCCCAAACAGAAGTTAATTTATAGTAAAGTAGACCATATAGGGGTGATATATTTTAAACAGTATCTTTTTTATACACAGAATACTTCATGACTTTAAAGGGACATGTCCTCAATAAGTTTCTTGGCTGTTTTGAGTATCAAAACATCTTTGGTGGCAATAATCAGACACCAAGAACTTCTATTTGCACCCATCTCTATTACTGGTTCAGAGACACGAAGCATTTGCCCCTTTAATTTCACCACCACATACCAAACTTGCAGCAAATTTAAAATACTATAAGATGTGTGTACATAGGGAAAGTCCTCATCCTCAATAAAATAGTAGAAGAGGTGAAGAGTGAAAGAAAGCAAAGGATACTATCTTTTAGATAATCCTAATTCAACTGGATTGGTGTATGTTATTCACTAACCAAATTGGTATTGGATAAAAACTCACAGCTACTAAAAGCTTCACTGGAACAAACAACTGACGAATTCACTTTTATTTCAAATAGTTATCCATATAAATGTAAGCACAACACAAGCACACTTGGCTTTATAGAAATACTGTAAGAGAATAGACTTCACAGTGAGCTTACATTTACTGTGCTGCACATTCAATTTTTCTCAACTTTTTAGTGTTGAATATAAAATGTGAACAGGAGAGGTAAACATTTCCACCCACTTAATTTTTATTTGGCATGTTTACAGTCAGGTAAACATAAGCTGCTATGAGAAAAATTATTTTCATACTTCTTTACAAAATACTCTAGGAGGAGAGATAATTTTCTTAGTGTAAAACACAGCCTTTATTCTGTCAGGCAAAGTAATTATGGGAGCAAAGCAAATCCACAATGTCTAATTAGGTCATTAAGAAGCATGAATGCGTCATGGAAGCTTTTCTCCTTTCCTAAGACATAAAGTCAGACAATGAAAACAGGCTGGTAATATAGAAAGGTTTAGAATTTGCTCCTTTTCAAAAATAATAAGTCCTTTCATCTTCCCATTTCCCTTAGACGAAGACAGTTAATTTAGAGGAAAAAAATCTTCTAATTAGTTCAGAGTTTAGTCTGATTATATTTCAAAATATTTAACCAGAAACAGAAAGATAGAGGAAAAATACATGGAAAAATTATCAAAGGAAGTGAATAAAATCAAGAGAGTGGGTTGTTGATCAAAATGCAATCTGCAGAGGCAAGATGAATATAAAATCTGTGCTCCTATAAACACAAGCACTCTAGGACACGAGAAAGCTCTTAGGAGGAACACACTGGCATTTGCCTTTGGGGTTTGAAAGCCAGACTTTAATTACAGCTAACTTAAATAAAAACAAATGGCATGATTATTTTGTCTCTTCCTCAGTTGACTCATTATTTCTTGAGTTTCAGAAAACCCATAGCTCAGAGAATTAAGAAACAAAATGTGAAAAAACACAGGACAGGACACTTACCTGTGATCCTCGTGGCCCTCTTTTGTGATCCCATTCTGAATGTCCCATGAGCTGTAAAGACATTATGATAATTGTGGTAAGTTAAATGCTTATTGTACATGGCAACTATTTTGCTCTTCCTTTTAAAGAAATCTGTGTTAACACTAATGTATTAAATAGTCATCATGAATTAATTACCATACTTGAAGAAATAAAATTCTGGTTTGATAGCAAGAATTTCAACCTCTAGTTACTTTGAAGGTACTTTAATATCAGTGTATGACAAAAATAATCTGATAATATATAACTTTACTGTTCTTTCTCAGGAACATCCAAGATAGATGTCAAACCTCCCAAAGCTTATTTGCATATCACTAGGAGTCTAGTTAATTAGGAAAATATGCTGAGTAATCCAATAGTGTATAATGTACTATCATGAATAAGACCCAGAAGGGCACAATGCTTCAATGATTTCTAATTCTGCTTTGATAATATCACAAAACATGAGATTTCTAATGAGTAAAATTATTTAATATGAAATATGCTCCTAATGTCACAAAATTTAATTTTTTTATAACAGACTATAAAATACTATCAAGTTTTTTTCCACAATTGCAATAGTCCTGAACTATTTTGCCTACAAAGCAGGATATCTTTTAGAAAACATTTTATGCAAGAGTATTAAAGAAATAAATATATACACTGAGAGGAATGAAGCTTCATTCCTCTGTCCAATTTGCCCCCTATTCATAGGACCCAAACGAAGATCTTTTTGCAACTAATAAACTAGAACACTAATAAGACAGACCACGAATGTACTGCACACACCACTAGTTTCTCCACATACAGCAAAGATGTCTTAGTAGGTATAACAAGTAAGTTGCTCATAATATCGAGAATAAAAAATAACAGAGCTTTGAATATTATCAAGAGATGTTAGACAACCATATATTGAGAATGATAAACCTTTACTGACGAACACACAATGCTATTCATCCAGTAGATTTGATTCTACCCAAATAAATTTACAGCTTCAACTCCATTTCAATCAAAACCTAATAGAATGTTTTAAATAAAGTGTTAATAATCCAAACATAAATTTCATTTGAGTTCCATCTAAGAATCAGTTATGTTAGATGATAAAGTCTAAGGATCTCATGTATAGCATGAGAACTTGTATTAATAGCATTGTATCATATATTAGAAATTTAGAGAGAAGATTTTGGATGCTTAACACAAAAAATAAAACCAGAAAAACAAAGAAAAATAACTATGTGTAATGATGACTTCATTCCTGTACTTGACCATAGATATTACTTCACTATGTATATATAAAAAAAAATGCTGTACATCTTAAATATATTCAGTGAAAAAGAATCACAGAAAATACTAGAAAGGATGAAAATGGTCTTTTGGATATTAAAATATATTCTAAAACTAAACTCAAAATATGAGATAATAGTTTAACAATCAAAATATAAATGGATAAGATATGGTAGAAAGTTTGAAATATAAAAAAAGAGAATATAAAAATGACTTATTCAACAAATGAAAAAGAAAGGAACTTTTTAGAAAACTAGAACTTAAACACAAATCTTAATGCTACATCTAAAAGATCTAAGCTTAAATTTTTAAAAAGATAAAGCTAAATGTAAAATAGGATAAATATAGGTAAACATTTAATCTACCTTGTAAGATTAAAAATATGAAATCTTTTTAAAAAGATGTTTTTTACAAAAATCACAAAAGAAGATCATTTGATGTAGCTGTATAAAAATTTTAAATGTCTGTATCAACATTACGTTGGTAAAATATCTGCAATGAAGGATTAGAAAAGGTGAGGTATTCAGTACTTCAAGAGTACTTACAAATTTGAAAGACACACAACCCTAGCAGAAAAATTGAGGGGAGTATAAGGCCAATTTACAGAATGACTGTTAGGAGGCTGGGAGTGTGGCTCAGCAGCAGATGCTTGCCGAGTATACACTTGGCTTTGAGTTCAATCTTCAGCACTGCAAAAAAAATTTTTTCCAAGATAAATGTAATTAACTTATTGGAAAATTTAACATTACTGGAAGTGGAAAACACAGTTAAAACAAGACACTACTGCTACCTGTTAAACTATTAATCATGCTGAGCACTTGTGGTAAAAGAGAAAAGCATAAATTGTTAGTTTTTAAGCAAATATATGCATACATATAAATTCCTAATATATATACATGTATTTGTGCATACCTATATACTACAGATAAGAGTTTCCAATATCCTCAGAAATTCATACCATTGGACTAAGTAAATCAAAAGTTAAAAATCCAATAGTAATGTGTTGATCACTGTGTCACCCAACAAAGAGGAAATACTCAGCAAATCATAACTTGTACAAGAATACAACAGTTAAAATTTTAGCAATTCAAAGCTTTATAAACAATTACATGAGACATGCTCATGGAATATTATACTTGGTCTTAGCCAAAAGGTGAAGAAGCCACAAGACATACTCCTGGTACACTAAGTGAAAAATATGCTAAGGTAATTTTAAGTCACACATTTTTAATAAAACTAAGTCAATCACTGTGAGCCTTGGAAATATTGCAATGATTTTCTTACAGTTTAGCTAGCATGCAATTTTGGGAAAATGAGAGTAGATAATAATTATGTAAAATTAAATGTTTACATAGTTGATATTTCTTTAATGCTTTAATTTTTTAAAATTTTGAACTTATTGGCATTACTTCTACTATTAAATATTCTATTCTTAATATTTATATACTATTCGATTTGAAAGGTTTGTTGATTGAGAATATGATAGTGTTTTAAAATAAACACTACTGTTAATTTTTCAAAGTAACAGATATAGACATGATAAAATACAAATAATGGAAAATAAAATAATAAAAAAACAAAAAATGACAAATAATAAAGGATTAACTCTGTCTGCGATAAATGAGATTCGGGAATGTTCTCTAGTCAGTAAGAAGAATATCAAAAGGAAATTTCACTGGACATTTTTCCCTTTGGATGTGATGAAATCACATAAAGTTTCTCACATTAAAATTCAGTTTCTAATAAAAATAATCTGGACTAAAATTTAGTATTTATTATTTCAGTGTGGAGTGTATGCAGTTTATTATAGTATTTCCTGTCATTTTTCTAATGTAAAGAAAGAGGTGGTAGGGGGGTAGGGATTGGTAAGGTTTTCAAGCTACACGGTCCCCATGGTTACAGCTCACTGGGCACTAGATGGGGTTAAAATAAGCTTCATATTAGCACACGATAGCATATAGATGTTTGTCCTATTTGCACATAAGATTTATTTTACTATTTCAGGAATGCTATCCTTAGGTCATGAACCAAAGACTAAAATAAGCAGAATAGTCTCAGAATTGTATCTTTAAAAAGACATCCATAGTGTGATGAACTGATTTATTACATATAACAGACCAAACTGAGCATTCAGTCAGTGGTACATATTCCTGGAAAACCAGAACTATCAGGTTAAATGTTTTATATGGTACTATATAGGTGCTTCCCTATCTTCACTTGACTAGTGATTATAGAAAAACAACAACAAAACACCAGTCAATTACAATAAATAGTAAAGAAGACAGTTTAAACAATGAAGTCAACAGAATTTGGAATCACATGTAAATTGATGATATTCTTTCAATGAAAATGTCCAAACCTCATTTCAATCAAACAGATAGGATTAGCATTAAATTGCAAATGACCAAAGTAGTCCTCTGACATCATCATGGGATTAAATAAAAGATATTAATGGCTTACAAATAAAGAGGAACATAAGTAGAAACTGTGGATATTTTTTCTTTTTTGGAATTTAATTCATGGGGACTAAGTCTTCAAGATAAATGAAAAGCAGCATGATACCTAAGCAATCTGAGCTGGGAACAGAGTCAGAAAGTTTATTAACATGACATGATATTCTCTTTGAAAGAGGTATGCTTACAATCTTGATATTAGTTATAAAAAGATAATAGAAACGAGAGAGATATTAACAGTGGAAAATGCATAAAGGTATTGGATATGCAACAGTAGTCTAGTGTATGAATATACTGTAGTGTGGCTACTTAATTGCAGGAAGAAAGACTGTCTGGTCTCTCATCGTTAGATTATATATAGCTTCTTGCAATTTTAACTGTGATTACTCCTCTTGGGATTGACATTTTAATAAGTATTTTGCCAGAAGGTCTGAGGATATACAGGTCACCAAGGTTATACCTACACATGCCAACAAAATCTTTCCATCTGATGAAGAAATCCTCTTAAAAAAAAGGACCCTTCCTCCTTTCCAGTTCTCATGAAGTAAGATAGGCAAAACGAAGACCCTTAAATTTATTCCTGGGAAATAAATTATGCTTCCTTCAAGAGAAACACAATCTGTTATATAAAGCATGTTGAAAATCCTAGCCTCTTGACACTAAGTCATTTTCATCCTTATGGAATAAATTCTTTCTTCTCTCTTTTATTTTTAATAATAAATTTCTACATCACAGCCTTCAGCTAACAGGGGGTGAGTGGTGGTAGCAGGAGCACTGTATCTCATATGTAAAAGCTAAATATATCTGGCTTCCCAAGCACAGAAATTTAAAAAGTTCACGATTAGCAAAGAAAGTCAGCACGAGAAAGGCCTGAAAGAGTGGTTCGTAGTCCAAATGCATATATTTATTTAGGACGGATAGGTGCGTAGTGTGATAAGTATATATACTATATCTCGAATATTTATATTCCTTGATAACTGTGTGATATTATCTATGTTTTGTTGGTGTGGGGAAGTATAGTGTGGAGATCCTCTGATTGGGTTGGTGTGTGAGCGCTGGGTTCGTGGCGTCGTGTAGTCAGTGTGTTATATGAGGGTAGTGAGGAGGTGGGAGGATCGGCGTTGGGTGGGTGGGGTGGGCGTGCGGGTGAGGGAGGAGGGTGAAGGAGTCTGAGCGTGTGGTGGGGTGTGTTGGTGGCCTTAATGTTTAGGTATATGGTGAGGTGGGGGGGGTGGGTGGGTGGGTGTTTGGGTTGTGGTTTAAAACTACAAAACCCAAGCGGTTAGGAAAGGAAAG